CCAAAATTTCCTCCCTTCATGGGTCCAAAATTTGAAGACTGATTGTTGTAATTGCCAAAATCATTGTAGCTTCCACCACCTCCAAAATTGCTTCCTATAAATGGGAAAGAGGGCCTTCGTCTGTTACCTGAGGATGATGCTAGTTTCCAATTCTGTTTAGTGGTCAGAATAAAATAAGGTTGAGTTATCTGCCTTCCTTTCTCCCAAACTATGGTGACTCCAATCTTTGCATTTCATTCTCTGGGAAAGGCATTCAGTTGAATAATCCAGTAATAAAAAGAAAACTGGCCTAACTCACCATGACATAAAATAAAGAGATTTTCATAGTGGCTCAAGCATATTCTCCAGCCTTGAAGGCCTTCATGGATCCAGGGCCACAGCAAGCAGAAGTATCTTGGATACATCAACTAAGCGCCTAAGGTCCCAAAGGAGTTAAGATACTAAATCCTTCTATGATACTAATCTAACTCAAAGACAATACTATCCACTTATCTCTACTAATTGGGAGTGAGGCGGCCCCAGCTTAAAGCTAGGAGGAGGTAGCATAGCAAGCCCATTTGTTTTTATTATACCATGCAATGTACCACACAATGCTTTAACAGCACCAGAACCCAAGCTCTAAAAGGCTAATCTAGCTGTCACACCAAGTACTTGGATCACTGGATACCTACCACTACCACCGCCAAAGCCGCCTCCGCCTCCGTTGTTATAGCTGTCATAGCTGCCACTCCCGCCATAGCCACTGCCCTGGTTTCCATAACCCTGTCCACCACTTCCATAGCCTCTGCTTCCTCCAGAGTAACCAGGGCCGCCTCCTCCATAACCACCTACAAGAATACAATTCTTCTCAATAAGACAAAAGTATTTGACAATGAAAACGTGTGCAAGTGTAATGGCTGAAGGCCTGCTCACAGCATGCGTGTTATGGGCAAGGTTGAGTTTGTCATGCACCAGAATTTTAGTCTCTTATCAACCTATTCTAAAGATCCAGGTTGCCAGGATTTTTTCTCTACTTAGTCCTAAAAAACTTACCATCATTACCAAATCCATTATAGCCATCCCCACTGCCACCATATCCACCACCACCACGGCTGCCACCAAAGCCACCTGGAAGAAAAAGTTTCAAGTTTAAGTATGACTTGCACTGAAAATGACATTCTGAATGCACTTCCCACACTGTAAAATCTACATAGCAAAGACGGTGTGACGTCAGAACTACACGTACATAAACTATACATACCACGACCACTGAAGTTTCCTCCACGACCGAAGTTGTCATTCCCACCGAAACCACCTCCACGACCACCACCAAAGTTTCCAGAACCACTTCGACCTTAAGAAATGAAGTTTAAGCATTAAATCATTCATACTGAAGTAACTCAAAGTTACCTTTAAGGTTTAATTAAGCAACAAGCATACCTCTTTGGCTGGATGAAGCACTAGCCATCTCTTGCTTTGACAGGGCTTTCCTAACTTCACAGTTGTGGCCATTCACAGTATGGTATTTCTGAACTAAAAAAAATATAAATACATGGTCTCAGGGTTTAGAATGCCACATGGATTGTGGAACCCTTACTAAATGCCACTATCGGATACTTACTGACAATCTTATCCACGGAGTCATGGTCGTCAAAGGTTACAAAGGCAAAGCCCCTTTTCTTGCCACTGCCTCGGTCAGTCATGATTTCAATCACTTCAATTTTCCCATACTGTTCAAAATAATCTCTTAGGTGATGTTCTTCGGTGTCTTCTTTAATGCCACCAACAAATATCTTTTTCACAGTTAAGTGGGCACCTGGTCTTTGAGAATCCTAATAGGAGGAAAACCACAGGTTTAGATTAGCAAACCCTATATTCAAATCAAAAATTGTTCTGGTAAGTTTAGAAAACTCCTGAACCTTAAGTCCATAGCAGCACATCTCTAAATGAGTTGAAGGCGGAAAAAAAACCAAAAAAAAAACCCAACACAAAACAACTCACTTCTCTTGAGACAGCTCTCTTTGGTTCCACAACTCTTCCGTCCACCTTGTGTGGCCTTGCATTCATAGCTGCATCCACCTCCTCCACAGTGGCATATGTGACAAACCCAAAGCCCCTGGAACGCTTGGTGTTTGGATCTCTCATTACCTGAGAACAGTGTTAATTTATGTAACAAAGTCTGACCGCAGAAGCTTTTGTCATTTTAACTTTGAATATGGCAATAGGAAACTTTATACCAGCCTTTTATGAAAAGCGGTCCAGTTTCCCACTACCCTAGATTTAATAGGTAGCTTTTAAAATCAAAGCAGAATGTTCCTTTGTCGACAAAGCTCTAACCATAATGTTACTAACAACTTTCATAAGCATTCAGAGAGGACTGCACCAAGATATGCCAAGGAAATCGCCTATTTTACTGCTTTGTCCCAATTCTTACCACACAGTCCGTGAGCGTTCCCCATTGCTCAAAATGGCTCCTCAGGCTCTCATCGGTGGTTTCAAAGCTCAACCCTCCAATGAAGAGCTTCCTCAGCTGTTCGGGCTCTTTAGGAGACTGGAGTGGGGGAAGGGGGAAGTGTTAAATGGACTACAACACGAAACAATTTCCATCAAGGAAAAGAAAAACTAGACACCAACTGTGTACCTAGCACTTATTGTTTGTTCAGGTCGCAACAAGCCACGTGCTTCTCCCCACCAAGGGAGGCAGTATGCTGGGGGTTGGGAGTGCTGGGAAATCGCAAGCGCATGCGTCTCTAGTCGTCTTCCGACGCACGCGCAACAAAGGCTTGGGTGGGAGGGGTGCATCTCCATAATGGGACTAACCACTCTTCAGAAATCTCGCTCACCAAGGCAAGGTTTAAAAAAAGACAAAGATCCTGTGTGCCTAAGAATTTTGCTACGAGTAGCGAGTCCCGCGTGATAACTCGTGGTTGGCGGAGAGCGGCCTCATGGCGATCAAGAGGACAAAATGGCGACTTGAACTTTGGGAGGGGTAGGCCTTGGCAGCGACCGAAGTTAACTGTAGAATCGGCTGGTGCAAGGAACGAAACCAAGCCGCATCTTACCGATTCAGGAAAGGGAGACGAAAAAATTCAAGTTGGAAAGCTCGCCTAACTCACCTCTGACTTAGACATGACGGCAGGGAGAAGAGAGACTTTAACGATGCTTCTTCGGCGGCGTCCACGGGCAGAAAGGAGCAAGCTGACGAACGTATCTGCCAGCCTACCTTCGGCCTCTCTTTTTTACCCCGCCTCCTCGCTTTCGGCATTGGTAGACTCCGCCCTGGAACAGCTCTGATTGGACATTTGAAATCGCTTCCCCTTGCTATTGGCCTGTGGTGCCACATTGCTGTGTAACGTCATTCCTTTGGGCGTTCTACGCGTCTCCACCCCTTGCAGTCAATTGGTTCTCGAGTAATATTATTGTTAACCAGTCTGATTGGCCAACCGACCAATCATTCATGTTTGAATCTACCTGGGGTGTTTAACGCCTTTTTCATCTTCCACGCGTAAATATTACAGTCAAGCCGCGTGGCAAAGCATGATTAACACTATGTATTAGACAAGCAGCCAGGAGGTCACAGTTTTTTTGCAAAGAACGCTTGTTGACCGCACGTGTAGCAAAATGGCGAATTTTGCGCAGGCGCATTAAGAAGTTCCACCTGCCTCTGGGAACACGTGAAATGGCGGGCAGGACTAGGCAGTGAACCTACGGCGCCTGCGTGTTGGCGGGAGTTGGTTCTAGCTTTGCGCATGCGCAGTGGGCGGAGAAAAAAGGTCCGGTCCCAGGATTGGTTGCGCAGGCGCAGGGAAGGATCCGTTTTGGCGGGCGGTTGGCGTTGCGCAGAAGGCGGCGGCGGTGGTGGCTAGTGGTGCGGCCTCACCAAACAGGAACAGGGCAGACGTTAGCGTGAGTGATCACTCTCAATCCCGGGTAAGTGGCAGACAGTCTTATCTACCCATAGTAGGTCTTGAACTGACTCCATTTGGGCCCGTTATTGTGTGAAATGAATGGACCGCGGGGTGGGGGATAGTCAAGGGGCAGCGGTGGATCGGGTCAACCAATAGAAGAACAGGGGGCGGGATGTTTTAATCCCTGTAGGTTCTTGGGAGCTCTGCAGCCGAAGACTTTGACTGGCTTGTGTATAGACCAATTGGGTGTGCCTTGAGCTGCCGACTGATCGGCCCTTGGGCCATCGGAATGTAGGAGATGGGTTTTCCCCTTCTGAGGAGCGTCTCACTGAGCCAGTGAGCAGGAAGCGCGCGGTAGGTTGGGCTTCTCCAGGAGGCAGCGGTTTGACTCCAATGGGGAATGCGGGATCGGGCGGTTAAACGGATGGAACGAATCTGGAGCCAGTAGGCGGACAGCCTAAGGAAAGCGCTGGGACCCAGTCGTCCAATCGGCTCTCCAAAAGAGAGAGGTCTTCGATTTGGGGTTGTGAGGAAGGGGAGTCTGTGCCTGTAATGGCGTGTGAGGATAAATGTTTTATCCACAATGACTTTTCTAATGTTCTAACGGAGCCTTTAGGCCTCAGTCCCATACACCTCCCTGAAAGCCTAAGTTTCCTCCTGTATTCCTCGACTTGACCATTTTTCCCCCGCCTCCTCACCACTTGAGGTTTGGGGAACAGAGGAGGTTTTTGTTTGTTTTTTAAATAATACTTTCAGAAGTCGCTTCTTTAGGAAGACTGTTAAAATGTTAGAACGAATAGGAGAAATCTCTATATCCTGATAGTGCATATTTCCACGAACAATATGTTTGTAGGTCCATAGAAAAGTTTTCGAAAGCTATACACCAAAGTGTGTCAGTCCTAGGGACACAGTAGGATCGAGGCAGGCTGGTTCTTTAATGTTTAAAACTTTGCAAGATTAATGATTTGTGATTAAAATTAAATAAAAAATGAAGTGAATTGTTTTGTGTTTCTAATCATAATCACATACTTACCACCCTTTTTCTGATTTGTATAATCCATGTGCCCAGTGCTTTTATTTTAGTCTCTTTCTCCCGGGAACTTTCCCTCTCATACATTTCCTTTCTTTACACCATTAAAGATATCCTAAAACCCCTCTTTTTGATGTTCATTTGAGGATATCTGCCTTTGGATTAAAAAAGAAACGCTTAAAGAGGGTAATATTTAGGGTTCTGGGGACTGAAGACTCATCCATCACCTGGATTATTCCTTGCCTTTTAATTAGATTTCCTTCGAAGTGTGTTTTACATGCAGTCTATCTCCTTTTGGTAATGCCCCCTCTGCTTATTCCAGGATCTTTTGGAGAAATAAATAAATTTTGATAACATTGGCTGTATCAGAGTCTTACTGCTTTTTTCAATAATTCAGGATCAAGGGAAAATACTTAAATGCTGAAAATCAACTACCTATGAAGTACACTTATGACTAGAGACCTTTCCGACTTTATACCAAAGACAAAAGATTTTAATAGCAGTTTATGAACAGAGGAAAAATTTCCATGTTCTCTGGCACTAGCAAAAGGACAAAGTATTTATATATAATTTATATCTGGTTTTAAACCTATTTGTAGGTATGCTAGTAATGGGGTTGCTGAGCTTCTGAGAACTAAAGTGATACTGGTTAAGGGTATCTGTCCTGGATTTATTTAGGTTTGAAAGGAATACAGTCTTTTTTTTTTTTTTTGAGACGGAGCCTCGCTCTGTTGCCCAGGCTGGAGTGCAGTGGCCGGATCTCAGCTCACTGCAAGCTCCGCCTCCCGGGTTTACGCCATTCTCCCGCCTCAGCCTCCCGAGTAGCTGGGACTACAGGCGCCCGCCACCTCCCCGGCTAGTTTTTTTGTATTTTTAGTAGAGACGGGGTTTCACCGTATTAGCCAGGATGGTCTCGATCTCCTGACCTTGTGATCCACCCGTCTCGGCCTCCCAAAGTGCTGGGATTACAGGCTTGAGCCACCGCGCCCGGCCAGGAATACAGTCTTAACCTGCAGCAAGATTTCTCAGCATTAGCACTGTTGATATTTTGAGGCAGATAATAATTCTTTGTTAAGGGTATTCGGGGTGTCCTGTGCATAGTAAAATATTTAGCAAAATCCCTGGCTTCTACCCACTGTATGCCAGTAACATCGCACCTCTCGCCACATCCCCATTTGTGACAATCAGATTGTTAACAGACATTGCCAAATGTCCGGAGAGGTAGGGATCGGGGATAAGATCTCCCTCGGTTGAAAATCATTCTTCCAAAATTCTGGAATTTTGGGCACAGTTTCGTGTTCCTGTAGTCCCAGCTACTCTGGAAGCTGAGGCAGGAGGCTTGAGCTCAGGTGGTCAAGGCTGCAGTGTGAAATGATTATGCCTGTTAATAGCCACTGCACTCGTCTGGGCAGCACAACAAGATCTCATTGCTAAAAAATAAAAATAAAATGCTAAAGTTTATTATTTTTTCAAAATCCATTATTTTACCAATTGGAAAATAGGTAAAAGTGAGAGAAGATGGTTGAAGTGTTTAGGGAGTGGCTTTTGGTAAATGGATCGCTAAATCCTGATGTTTATCTCCTTAGATACAGAATTGGTCATTGTTCCATTTGATAAAAGGAAATTTTTATTAAAATTTTTACCACTTGATCTGGTGCCAGTGGCTTACGTCTGTAATCCCAGCACTTTGGGAGGCTGAGGTGGGCAGATCACTTGAGGCCAGGACTTTGAGACCAGCCTGGCCAACATGGTGAAACCTGTCTCTACTAAAAACACAAAAATTGGGCCGGGCGCAGTGGCTCATGTCTGTAATCCCAGCCCTTTGGGCGGCCGAGGCGGGTGGATCACTTGAGGTCAGGAGTTCAAGACCAGCCTGGCCAACATCGTGAAACCCCGTCTCTACTGAAAATACAAAAAAATTAAGCGGGCGTGGTGGCAGGTACCTCTAATTCCAGCTACTCGGGAGGCAGAGACAGAATTGCTTGAACCCGGGAAGCGGAGGTTGCAGTGAGCAGAAATTGCACCACTGCACTCCAGCCTGGGTGACAGAGCGAGACTCCGTCTCAAAACAAAAAACAAAAAACCCCACAAAAATTAGCCAGGCATAGTGGTGGGCACCTGTAATCCCAGCTACTCAGGAACCTGAGATGGGAGAATCGCTTCAACCTGGAGGCAGAGGTTGTAGTGAGCCAAGATCGTGCCACTGCACCCCAGCCTGGGTGACAGAGTGAGACCTTGTCTCAGGAAAAAAGAAATATTTACCACTTTTTGCAACTTAAACTTACACATATGATTGATTGCATCTTGTCCTTGTTTGGCTTCCTAAAATAACGGCAAATATGTTTTTGAAGAAGGTAGACTTTGCCTCACATCCGTCTTTTTCACTTGATTCTAGCTAGCCTCTTTACTAGGATTCTTTACTGGGATTCTTTTGGATCCACGTTTCAAAACTTTTTTGACTTCAATAAGAAATGTATTTTACAGTAATCCTGTACACACATTGAAACAGATTTCACTAAACAAACAAATGTGCAGAGCACTCTGATACTCTTTTGTCTGCAGTATACTATTTCATTGTCTTAAGAAAGCAGTCGATTTCCACCGAACTGATTTCGCAGCTGTTTATAGACCCAGAGTTTTGGGGGAAAAAAGACTGCTGATCTGAACAATAGGTCACCAAATCATGCCACCTTTGATTACTTTCTGAGTCAGTTCCTTCCATCTCCAGCCCCAGCCCCTTGTACAGATGATCCCTTACTTGTGATATTTCGACTTAAGATTTTTTTCACTTTTACAATGGTGTGGAAAGCAATTTCCTTTCAGTAGAAACCATACTTCAAGTATCCACATAACCATTCTGTTTTTCACTTTCGGTACAGTAATCAACCAATTACATGAGATATTCAACACTTTATTATAAAATAGGCTTTGTGTTAGGTGATTTTGTCCAACAGTAGGCTAATGTAAGTATTCCGAACACATTTAAGAGTAGGCTAGGCTAAGCTATGATGTTCGGTAGGAACACCTTAGGTGTAGGAAATGAATTTTCAATTTTTCGTATTTTCAACCTGTAAGTCAAGGAGTATCTAAACAGATTAAGCAGTGACCTGTTACTTGGTGTTTTTACTTATGTGTTTTACTTTGAAAGATTATAGGAGCCAAGCCGAGACTTTCTAGTTTACTGTGGTGTGCAAGTGAAAATTGCTTGTTTTATTGTGAAGTCTCACAGTGCTTAAAGAGGGAAAACAATAAAAATATTGCAAAATCTCTCACAATGTGATAGGGTTTTTTGTTTGTTTGTTTGTTTGTTTGTTTGTTTTGAGACGCTCTTGTTGCCCAGTCTGGGGTGCAATGGCACGATCTTGCCTCACCTCAACCTCTGCCTCCCGGGTTCAAGCAATTCTTCTGCCCCATCCTCCTGAGTAGCTGGGATTACAGATGTGTGCCACCACGCCCTACTAATTTTTAGTAGAGACAGGATTTCTCCATGTTGGTCAGGCTGGCCTCGAACTCCTGAACTTAGGTGATCCGCTTGCCTTGGCTTCCCAAAGTGCTGAGGTTACAAGCGTGAGCCACTGTGTCCAGCCTCTAATGTGATAATTAATAGATATGATGAACTTTTCTCTCTGGTGGTGAAATTTTAGTGGGTAATTTTTCATTGAAATTCTGGGAATCTCACAGAGTTAGAAATCTTAACTTCCAGTGTGATATGTGTTGGGCCTCCAATTACAAAAGTTACAGCATTTGTGCTTAGAACTTAGAGACATACCGGCCGGGTGCAGTGGTTCATGCCTGTAATCCCAGCACTTTGGGAGGCCGAGGCAGGCGGATCATGAGTTCAGGATTGAGACTATCCTGGCTAACATGGTGAAACCCCGTCTCTACTAAAAATACAAAAAATTAGCCAGACGTGGTGGCGGGCGCCTATAGTCCCAGCTACTCTGGAGGCTGAGGCAGGAGAATTGCTGAACCTGGGAGGCTGAGGTTGCAGC